AGCTATTCTAAAAGTATGAGGTGATATCTTACCATGATTTTGATTTGCATTTCCCTGATGATTAAGATGCTTCTTTTTATGTATCTTTTGGCCATTGATATATCTTTTTTTTGGAAAAAACATTTATTCAGATCTTAGGCCACTTTTTATTCAGATTGGACTTTTTTTGGTTTTTGTTTTGTCTTGTTTTGCTACTGATATGAGTTCCTTACATATTGAATATTAGCCCTTTACCAGATATATGATTTGCAAATATTTTCTTCCATTCAGTAAGTTGCCTTTTTATTTTGTTGATTGTTTCCTTTACTGTACAGAAATTTTTTAGTTTGGAAGAAAAAATATTTTTCATTTGATGTAGTTCCATTTATTTATTTTTGCTTTTGTTGTTTTTGGTATCAAATACAAAAAAATCATCACCAAGATCTATGTCAGGGAGCTTACTGCCTGCATTTTCTTTTGAAAGTTTTATGGTTTCACATCTTATGTTCAGTTCCCCAATCCATTTTGAGTTAATTTTGTGTTTGGTGTAAGATAGTGTTCCAGTTTTATTCTTTTGCAGTGGCTGTCCAGTTTCCCAAAACCATTTGTTAAAGAAATTGTCGTTTCCCCCTTGTGCATTCTTCGCTCCTTTGTCATAAATTGACTATATATGTGTGGCTTTATTTCTGGGCTTTCTGTTCTGTTCTGTTGATCTATGTCTGCTTTTATACTAGCACCATACTCTTTTAATTACTATAGCTTTGTAATATAATTTGAAATTAGGGAGCATGATGCCTCCAGCTTAGTTTTTCTTCCTCATGATTGTTGTGGCTATTCAGGGTCTTTTATGATTCTTTACAAATCTTGGGATGGTTTGTTTTGTTTCTGTAAAAAAATGCTGTTGGAATTTTGATAGGAATTACATAGAATCTACATATTGCTCTAGGCAGTATGGCCATGTTAACATTAATTCTTCTAATCCATGAGCTTGGAATATCTTTCCACTTATTTATGCCTTCTTCAGTGTCTTGTATTAATGTCACCTTGTGTTTAAATATATTCCTAGGTATTTTGTTCTTTTTGATGCAGTTGTAAATGGGATTTTCTTAATTTCTCTTCCTGATAGTTTATTATTAGTGTATAAGACAGATTTTTGAGTCATGGGTTTTGCATTCTGCAACTTTACTGAATTCATTTATTCTAACAGTTTTTTGATTGAGTCTTTAGGGTTTTTTATATGTCACCTGCACATAGTGACAGTTTCTTCCTTCATTGCAGTTTGGATGCTTTTTTTTTTTTTCTTTTTCTTACCTCATTGGTCTGTTTAGGACTTCTAAAACTATATTGAATAAAAGTGACAAGAGTGGGCATCTTTGTTTCTGATCTTAGCTTTCAGCTTTTCATCATAGAGGATATCAGTTGTGAGCTTGTTGTATATGATCCTTATGTTGAGATACATTTCTTCTGTACCTGCTTTGTTGAGAGTTTTTATCATAAATGGATGTTGAATTTTGCGAGATGCTTTTTCTGCAATTGTTAAGATAATCATGATTTTAATCTTTCATTTTGTTACTGTGATGTATCCCATTGATTGTAGATGTCAAATAATCTTTACATCTCTGGAATAAATCCCACTTAATCATGGTGTATGATCTTTTTTTAATGTATTCAATTTGGTTTGCTGACATTTTTGTATAGGATTTTTACATCTGTATTTATCAGGATATTGGCCTATACAGTTAGTCTCCTCCTATCTGTGGTTTCACTTTTCATGATTTCAGTTACCTGTGGTCAACTGTGGTCCAGAGGCAGGTGATCTTCCTTCTGACACATTGTCAGAAGGTCAGTAGTGGCCCAGTGCTACTGTTCATTCCCCTCACTTCATCTCATCACATAGGCATTTTATCACCTCATATTATCACAAAAAGAAAGTTGAGTACAGTACAGTAAGATATTTTGAGAATGAAAGATCACATTCACATAACTTATTACAGTATATTGTTACAATCCTATTTTATTCTTAGTTATTGTTCTAATCTCTTATAGTGCATAATTTACAAATTAAACTTTATCATAGGGGGGATCCCTGGGTGGCACAGCGGTTTGGCGCCTGCCTTTGGCCCAGGGCACGATCCTGGAGACCCGGGATTGAATCCCAGGTCGGGCTCCCGGTGCATGGAGCCTGCTTCTCCCTCTGCCTGTGTCTCTGCCTCTCTTTCTCTCTCTGTGTGACTATCATAAATAAATAAATAAATAAATAAATAAATAGATAGATAAATGAATGAATAAATAAATAAATAAATAAATAAATAAATAAATAAAAACTTTATCATAGGTATGTATGAATAGGAAAAAAAACATAGTATACATAGGTTTCAGTACTATCCATGGTTTCAGACATTCTCTGGGGGTCTTGAAATGTATCCTTCTTGGACAAAGGGAGACTACTGTAATTTTATTTTCTTATGGCATTTAGAACAGTACATGGCTCATAATCTCTCCATAACTATTAACTGTCATTATTTTTAGCAAAATTAACAAAATTAATAGTCTGTTCTTTTGTACTTAATTTAGTAGTTTATTTGATTTTATCTTCATAAAAAATAAGGTTATTTAAAAGATAAGGCTATTAACACAAAACTGGTTTGATGAGGGGCACCTGGGTGGCTCAGTCTGTTAGGCATCTGCCTTAGGTTATGGTCGCAGGTCCTAGGATGGAGCCTGCATGGGCTCCCTGCTCTGCAGGGAGTCTTCTTCTCCTTCTCCATGTGCCCTTCCCTCTGCTCATGCTCTCTCACTCTTTTGTGCTCTTTCTCAAATAAATAGTATCTTAAAAAAAGAAACTGGTTTGGGAGCACTGAAGTGGCTCAGTTGGTTAAGCATCTGTGTTCAACTCAGGTCATGCCCCTAGGGTCCTGGGATTCAGCCCCATGTCCGGCTCTCTGCTCAGCAGGGAGTCTGCTTCTGCTTCTCCTTCTCCCGCTGCCCCACCCCCTGCTTGTGTGTGTGAGCGCACACTCAAATAAATAAATAAAATATTTTTTTAAAAACTGGTTTGCTGTGATTGGCAATATAATTATTTACTTTCAAATTATACTTCCTGAATCTTAAAATGTCTTTTTTTTCTCTTGACCTTCAGTATACTAAGGCTTTAATGAGAACAGTCAACCAAACCATTGTGTTGAACAAGGAGATATTAACCCAATTATAGTTAACCACTCCCTCTTTTGTGAGCTTATGACCACCTTACCAAGATGCCTGTAGGCATATATATTCTCTGTCTCCATGGTAAAGTCTGTAGAAGTTAGTACCTTACTTATCTTTGTAGCTCCTGTTTGATGCACTTCTTTTCCAGGGTACTTCCATACAACATTTATTAACAAAATAAATGTTTATCATATTTATCAATGGAATTCACCAGAGCATTGGGTTTATTTAGAAATTTATTATCAACTTTATGCTTAGATTTAGAATTAGTGCATAGTTACTGAGAAACTGCTGTAATAAATAGCAAAAAATACTTAGTGTTTACCGTGTACCAGGTTCTGTTCTAATCACTATATATAAACCTCTCTAATCCTCTTAACAAGTAGAGGTGGAGTGTTTTTGCTTATCATTCCCGTTACAGTTGAAAAAAATGTAGGCATAGGGTAATTTACCTAATGTCCGATTGCTAGTAAGTGGTAGAGACAACATTCAAAAGCCACATAGTCTGCTCTTAATTCCTCCACTATCTTTGTAATTTTTGAAGTTTGGGTTTTGGTTTTTTTGTTTGTTTTGTTTGTTTATTTTTTAGGGGTGAGGAGCAAGGGAAGATTGAGAATCTTAAGCAGGCTCCATGCTGGGCATGGACCTGACTTGGGGCTCCATCTCATGACTCTTGAGATCAGGACCTGAGCCTAAACCAAGAGTTAGACACTTAACTGACTGAGCCACCCAGGCGCCCCATGTTATTTTTGAAATTCTCAATCATAGGGCTTATAGAAGGTATTTATGACATTTTTTAAAGTTCATTTTTTGTCTCCTAATTCATATATTACTAACTTAGATTTCCTGATCTACTACTTTATTATGAAACTTCCAGTTATTAGTTGATACCGTGAACTTAGAAATTATTTTGCAAAGTAGTTAGAAAAAAATGTGCAGGTATTCAATTAAGAACCTGCTGTGCAGGGACGCCTGGGTGGCTCAGCGGTTGAGCCCCTGCCTTTTGGCTCAGGCCACAATCCCAGGGTCCGGGATCAAGTCCCACATCAGGCTCCTTGTGAGGAGACTGCTTCTCGCTCTGCCTCTGTCTCTGCCTCTCTCTCTGTCTCTCATGAATAAATAAATAAAATCTTTAAAAAAAAAAACAAACCTGCTGTGCACCTTGGGAGTTAGTTTTCATGCATTCTGCCATAAAGCAGCACCTTTACCTTGATACCTATGAATTCCTTCCTAAAATAGACTTCTTTCTTTCCACTGTGTGAACATAAATAGGCAAACATTTTACAGATCAAAGGTGCGTTTAGTGTCTTTATTCAGATTCCTGAATTGTAAAGGCTGTAAGCTGAAATTTGGTTTCGTTTCCAAAACAAAACTGTTCCCCAAAAATGGAAGGAACTTTAAGGTGTAAATAATTACTACTTATAGACATCAGAACTATATTTCCTTATCCTGTCTCAACAAGTTGGTTGTAATTCTTAAGGTTTGAATAGGTTGTGGTGACAAGTTTGAGCTATCTAGATTAAAGAAGTTTCATTTCTTTATGCTATCATTAAAACTGTTCTGTCTTTAATCATCAAGTATTTCTGTGGAAGAAATAGATTTAAGCTAACAAATACAAGTAAGATAAAAATTATACATGTGGATGAATTAAATTTATTTCAGGGCCCAGAATATTCTTCAGATGCTTTCAAAAGTCTTTGATATTCTGTTAATATAAATGGCTGAAAAGTTAACCTCTAACATGTAGAAAAACTAAGAAGTACAAATTTTAAATGTGCCTTATTTCAGAATTTTCATTTTCATTTTATTTTCAGTTCAGATCGTCTGATAGAAGAGACAATAAGGTAGGAAAAATTTTTGTTGTACTTTAGTGTGTTTTTTGTTTGCTTGGAACATAAATGAACATGCTAAATTAAACCCTATAACTAGAGTTAAAGTTAATTTACCATTCTTAAAGATGGGAATTTCACTAGGTTGTGATGTATTTTTACTGTGTCCTTTCCTTATCACAGACATTTGAAGCCCAGAATTTTTGTTTCTAGAATTAGGCTGACTTACCTAGGTTAATTTTTCTGATTAATTCATATTCAGTACTTTCAGCCTCAATCTTTTCATTCTCAATTTTTAGTCGAAAACCACCTTCGACATGTGATTTGGCAGATGTTTTATTTATACTCTTTATGTAGATTTGGTTTTGTCACAACAGCTGCAGAAGATCTTCTGCAGTAATATTTAGTGTTATCTGTAATAACACTGAAGTAGTTATTGCTTAAGGTAAGGGACATTTATTTGTTGGTCTGAACTGCTTAATTCTCTAGGTTTGGTGAATTTTTAGGTACTATCTTACGACAATAAAAAAGTAAATGAACTAGATATGATCTCGACAGTTTAGAATTCATCAGTGTCTAAAGCGTTTCTCAGGAAAGATATAATGAAGTACTTGGAAGCATCAACAGACCTGTTTTACTCCTACCAAGTGGCCTTGGTGTTGTGCTCAAATGTTTTACATGCTTTATTTTATTTAATTTCTTCAATAACCCAAGAAATAAATACTGTGTCCAAAACAAAAGAAATTAAGGTAAGTAATTTGCCTATGATCACATGACTGATAAATTATGTTGAGGATTCAGATCCTCAAATCTGAATCTCTGTAATTCTAGAACTAGGGCTCTATCTAAACTACTACCATATTTAACACCTTGTAGAAAGAGTACAAGCTTTGGAGTGTGATTTGGTTTGTGCTGCTCATCAGATCTCTGTTCTTGGATAAGTTACTTGGGGCCTTCATTTTCTTATGTGTTTAAAAACAAGGATTGGGCAGCCCAGATGGCTCAGCAGTTTAGCGCCACCTTCAGCCCAGGGCATGATCCTGGAGACCTGGGATCGAGTCCCATGTCAGGTTCCCTGCATGGAGCCTGCTTCTCCCTCTACCTGTATCTCTGCCTCTCTCTCTCTCTATCTCTCTCTCTCTCTCTTTCTCTCTTTCTGTCTCTCTCTCTCTCTCTCTCTTCCTGTCTCTCATGAATAAATAAAATTGTAAAAAAATTTTTTTAAATAAAAACAAAGATTGATGATAATATCTACCCTAAAATACTATTGTGAAGATTAAAGATAATATGAGGTAAAATGCCTAATACAATGCCTAGCTGATACTAGGTAATCTATAAGTAGTAGCTATATTACTAATGCAAACTCTTTTAATTTTTTATTTTGATATTTCAGAAAAATTCCAAGAGTACAAAGAATTCCCATATACCCTTTACTTAGATTCCCCACATTAACATTTTGCCACATTTGCTTTTTCACTTTTTTCCTGAACTATTTAAAAATAAATTGTAGACATGATGCCTCTCTACCACTAAATATTTCATTGTTCATATTTTAAATATGTATTTATATTGATATGGACTCATAGATTCTTATTTTATTCAGTAGGTTATAATGTTTCTATCATTATTTAATAAAGTATAATCACTTACAGTAATATGCAATTATCATATCTGGAGATTTTGTTTAAATTACATGCACTAGGTTGTCCATCTGAACAAAGTTTTCACACAATTGCCTAATTGTCAACTGAAATATTTTTCTTTGACTCCTTCCCTTTCATCAGCACATAAAGTAAAATCACATTTGCCAAGGATTTTTTTACTTAAAGTTTCCCTATAATCCTGTTCCTTTTTTTCTTCCTATTATTTCCTCCTCTTTCTGCCTGATTTTTTCTGGGCCAGCCTGCCTTAATTAAACTGTTTAACTCAAAGCTGACCTATTTAAGGGCTAGTAATATGAGTATAAAAATTTGGAGTACTTCCTAGGATAGGAACCTTTGAGAACCGTTAATCACTACTACGACTATTTTGCTAGTTAAAAAACAAAAAATATATATAATTATAAGGGTTTTTATTTCATTATTTGCCTTTATTTCAAAATATGGTAGGTATCACAAGTGAAATTTTACTGACTCTGAAACTAGTTATAATTACTTATAGATACTATAAAATCTAAGTGCCAAATAATTATTTTTGCATATTCTCTATTTAACAGTTTACTTTTTCCTTTCCTTTTGGAGATTTTAAGAATATGTGCAAACTGAATATAGACTTTGGCATCAATTAATTGAAAAGAACTAATATTTTTAATATTTATTCCTAAGCTTTAAAACTAGTATTGTCTGTTGAAAAACTATGTGTCTGAGTTTAGAACTAAAGCAGATAAGAAAGTTCCAGTAAGCACATCAATGATTTATCATTTTAAAAGCATTACATATTATTTGGAGCTTATGTTTGCTTCTGAGTATTTGACCTTTGAAATAACAACAGCCTAGAGTTCACTCAGCTTGACTCCACATGATGCAAAGAGATGGGAAAGTATATCTAGATATATTCTGTGTGGTACTGGCAATCATGCATATTCAACAAGATAATAACATAATGTATGATGATAATACCCATTCTCTAAGGAATACAAAGTGCTTTGTGGAAATTATTTTTTAATCTTCTTTTTCTACTTCTGAGTCAAAGTGCATGGGAGATGGTGATAGTCCTAGTGTAAAAAACAGAGGCATATATGATTCAAAGATTGCCTTCAGAAGCTCAGCCTCACTTTAAATGAAGTTGTGTTACTTTATATAAGACCATCATACCCCTTTTAAAGTACATAAATTTATGTTAAAACAACCACATTTTAAATGTATCCTATTTTGTTACAGACATAGTTATGAATAAGAACTAATGATGCAAAAGATGTTGTTAGTTTGGACTCTCCTTGTGTTCTTTTGGATTTGGGATCTAAAATTCAGTGTAAAGTTAACATTGTGGGGTTCCTTCTGTTTCACTCTCTTCTGGTTGTTATCCAGGCCTGCTCCACTGCACTGGTCCAGGGGTCCCTGTTACCTTCAAATACCTCCTTTTTTGGATCAGCTATTTTTTTTTTTAAGATTTTATTTATTTGTTCATGAGAGACACAGAAAGAGAGAGGCAGAGACACAGGCAGAGGGAGAAGCAGGCCCCATGCAGGGAGCCTGATGCGGGACTCATCCCGGGTCCCGGGGATCATGACCTGAGCCGAAGGCAGACGCTTAACCACTGAGCCACCCAGGCATCCCTGGATCAGCTATTTCTTGAATTTAGTGTCTTCCATTTTCTTAGTTTATTCCCTCATTATGCCAGACCACATTCTTTAGTAGTTTCCTAAGAAAGAACAAGAGGTCCAATTTTGGACTTCTCACATATATCCTTGATTCATTGTTTAGCCAAGTTAAAGAGTTCTGGTTAGAAATAATTTTGAAATGTTTGAAGGTACTGTTTTTAAGTTCAGTGCCAGTTGAGATATCTATCTGGTCCTTTGAATGTGATGAGCTTTTTTCTTCTGGAAACTTTTAGGGTCTTTTTCCCCCATGTTTTGGGGTGTTCTTTAACCTCCCCATAGTGAGCTTAGCACACATCTTTTCCAGTTCATTGCACTGGACATTGGGTGGGCTACTACCATCTGGAAACACATCTTCAGTTCTGGGAAATTTTCTTAAACTATCATTTTCCTACCTCCTTTTTCACTGTTTCGTTTTCTGTTTTTTTGCTTTTAACTGGTAATAAATAGGTTGGGCCTTCTGTTGTTCCTTTCTTACCTTTTCTCTGTTTTCCATTTATCTTTTTTCAACTTTCTGAGAGGTTTACTTGATTTGTCCTTTCAGTGCTTCTATTACATTTTAATTTCCGTTCTTTTTTAAAATTTACACCAGTGGGATCCCTGGGTCGCGCAGCGGTTTAGCGCCTGCCTTTGGCCCAGGGCGCGATCCTGGAGACCCGGGATCGAATCCCACGTCAGGCTCCCGGTGCATGGAGCCTGCTTCTCCCTCTGCCTATGTCTCTGCCTCTCTCTCTCTCTGTGTGTGTGTGTGTGTGTGACTATCATAAATAAATAAAAATTATAAAAATTTAAAAAATAAAAAATAAAATAAAATTTACACCAGTTTTTCTAAGGGATGGGTACACCCACACACACATATATTTATGTTTATGTTTCATGGTTGTGATGCCTTCTTTTCTCTCTCTGAAGACATTAAATATAATTTGATTTTAGAGTTTCTTGAGCTTCTATTACTGCCTGTTTCCTCAGATTCACTTTTCTGTTTGCTGGTTAGTTGGTTTGGATCCCTGCCTTTCATTAGAGGCTTTTCTCAAACTCATAGTGATTCTTGGTTCTTTGTTCATATTTAAGGGTAAGGCTCCAAAATCCAGTACCTGGAAGCTCGTTCTGTGTACTTGGGTGGTGGGACACTTGCCAAGTGCTAGACCCCACAGTGGATGATCAGAAGGGGGCCTGGCTGTCTCATTGAGAGCTTCATAATGTCAGTATCTCTAAGATCTCTTCTAGGTTAGATCTCCTACTGAGCTTGGGGCAGTCACCTGACTTAATGGTAATGGAAAAGGGTAATGTAGGGGTCTGGCATTTACTTGTACAAATTCCATTTTTAGCCCTATTCCACAGTTTTGCCTTCAGAGATACCTGATCCCCTTAATTCATTTTTTTTTCTCATCTCCTCAATTCTTTATCTTTTCTGGGATCTGGGAAAAACTTTTATAATCATTGCTTGACTCTTGGTGGTACTGAGGCAAATAACTGCAGTAGATTTGGTGCTGATAATGTTATTCACATTTCTTAGTCACTCAGGTAGAATTTCTGCAATTTTCTTTTCAATTTTCTTTATTATGTATGTGTACAGTGTTATTTTTGTAACAGTTTAAATAATTCTAAAATATATAAAGAAAAAGTTCAAAAAAAAAAAAAAGAAAAGAAAAAGTTCATTTCCTGGTAGTGTCCCTCCATTCCTGTCCCCTGAGTAACATAATAACTGACAGTTGTTAATATCTTTCTAATATGCTCACTGTCATACAGGTGTATACAAAGATGGTTTATTGCTTGAAATGAAAAAAAGATTTCATACTTTACACATCGTGTGGCTTGCTTTAATCATTCAGTGTATCATAAAAATCCCTCTTGGTTAATAGAAATAATGCCATCTTATTCTTTTTAATAACAAAATATTATTTCATAGTGTGGTTAAATCATAGTCTGTTAAACCTTTCCAGTGTTGTTTCCATTTGGGGGGTTGTTTTTGTGTGTTTGTCTTTTACTATACCAAATAGTGCTCTAATATATATCCTTTTATCTGTCTCTTCACATACTTGTTTCTTCTTTGCCTCCTTCTCAATTCTTGAAATTTCATTTTTTATTTGCCATTTGCTTAGAGTACCCCCTCTAGCATTTTTCTCCAATAGGATACCTGGTGTTGCCTTTTCAAAAATATGTTCATTCAGCTCCCAGATGGGTTAAGCTATTAGAGACCTCTAAGCAGAGACCCCTACCAGAAGTGGCAGTAGGCAACCCAGCAGTTTTTTCTTCTTCAGGATTCGTGGCCTGTCAGCTGTCAGTTCATAGGTTCTTCTGGTTGTACGTAGCAGCTCTTTACCAGCTGCAGGTACCAGAAGCAGTTCTGTCCATTACTGCAGCTCCAGTGCATGCAGGTCCATGTCTCCACTCTCTGGTCTCCTCAGGATGCAGTGAAACATAGATCTTTGCCCCAGGCTTGGAGAAAAATCTAGTCTTCCCTGTCGTTAGTTCCTTGGTTCTTCCCTTGCTTGAAAGAGTATAACCTACCTGGCTTTCTTCCTTGGAGATTTCAAAAGAATGTGGGATCTCAGATGGACCCCTCCCCTACATATCTGCCTTAGTTCTTATGTTTCTTCATGGAAGAAATTGGACCAGAAATGCGGTCAGGAATTTGTGCTCTGATCATCATCTTCCTGGAATCTCTTCATCTCTGTTCCTTTTTTTTTTTTTTAATGTTTCATATATTTTCAGATTTAAGAACACTCTTTCTTGCTGTTTTTTCTGTCAGTATCTATAGCACTCCACTGTGTATTACATGTCAAAATGGATACTGACCCTGCCCTCTAGGTTTCTAATGTCCAGGGAAGAAATAAGGCTGTTGAAAGTTGATCCTGGCAGTGACAGCAAAAAAATACCAACTGAGATTCTTTTAAATAGGATATCAGTGTAGTCACTTGGAAGAGACTATTAGTTTTTGTAAGGGAAGGGACTTTTTCCCATCTCTCTTAGGCATTTAGTGAATGTGTAACCTTTGTCAAAAACTACTTGGAAACCCAGCATAATGTTGCACATGTCTCCTAAAATCTGCCTAGTTGATTCTCCAGTAGAATTCTGGAACATAATCTTTTCATAAATTAAGGGCTGGTTATATATGAATATTTTGTGATGTGTTACACTTCAGGTTCTATTTTTATGATCATAATTTCATACTTCCCTCTCAACAGTTTTTCTGATAAAGGATATTTTAGTAGCTGGCCCCTTTCAAAACGATTTTAAGAAGCTTTTGTAATAGTGATTTGTCTGTTATTTCATTTGTTACTTTGGGAAAACTCACAGGAACTGGCCTACTGCCTTGTCCAAAAAGATACCAGAGGATAGCAGTGGGGATGGAGTGGTCATTCAGGAAAGGGATAGCATTAAGGTGACTTGGGAAATGATTTTTTTTTCCTCTGCGCATGCTTTTCAAGATTATGTTGCTTATTTTAGTTTTCTGTTCACTTTTACGGGTATGATGGATCCATACAGGATAATTTTAAATGCCAATGTAATTATCTTCTCTTTCCCCCTCTTCAGCATTGCTATGGCAACAAAAGAAAATATGACTTCACAGAGAGGAATGCTGAAGTCAATTCAGAGCAAAATGAATACTTTGGCCAGTATCCTTTTTGAAATTTTGAAATCACTAGTTTTTGGTGGGGAGGTATCTATGCCTTTTTGGCGGGCGGGGGGGGGAGGGGTTAGGTTGCCATCATCAAATAGCAGTTGAGGCCATTAGTAATTACATAATATGAATATGCCTTGCATTCCTACTTTATAAAAGTTGATATTGTTTAGTGTCATTTGTAAAAGATTGTACACCATAAGTCTGATACTAGTAGATTCAGAAAATTATAAATGAATTTTCAAATTACAAAATTATTTTACATTTTAAAAACTCTTGAATCCATGTTAGAATGCCACAGTATATATTATTCTTACCTCAACATCATAAATTACATGCTTTTTCTTACTTTTTTTTCCCAGTTTGGAGAATAAGTCAGTAGCAGATGCTTAGAAGGAGAAAGAAGGAGACAGACATCCATACATTTAGAGGAGTTGTATTTTCATTGTGACTCTTCATGCACAAGCTGAATGCTAGGATAGATTGTTTCTTGTGACTTCTACCTTTTTAATTCTTGAGTTTCCTGGTTTGAATTAGGATTACTAATACTTCCACAAAACCCAGTGGTAAAACTGGTAAGCCTGCTACTCTGAAATATTCGGTTTACTCTCTGAGAAGTCAAGCCTTTTGGAGAAAAAGTTTTCTTTCCCGGTTACTAAGAGAGGAAGAACCTATAATTTTCAAAAGCTGAGTATCTTCTGGTCCTAGATAATTTAAGGCCACTTTTAGTTTGATACTTATTTCCCTAAGGAATATCCTGAAGTGTATTGGTATTTTCTAATTTTTTTGTGAATTTTGTTCTTGTTCTTATCACCCTAAGTATAAAACCACACATCTGCAATCATTTATATTTTATATAGGGTTATACAGTTTACAGAGTACTATTACATATACTTGTATCATCAAATTATGATACTTCCAGAAGAATGTGTTCAAAAAAATCAAATAAAATGGGTGTTAGGACTCCATAGAGAGGTAGTAACAGAAACCTAATTCAGACTGACTTAAGGGGGGGAAGAAGGAAATTAGTTTGTATATATGTATCTAAAATTCATGGGTAGAATTTGACTTAAGACATGACTCAATTCAGGAGCTCAGATTTATGGTCAGATTTCATTGTTAAACTGCCGTTCCTCTCTCTCTTTTCCCCCTACCTATTCCACTTCTTATCTTTCCTGTGGTTGACCTTATTTTCAGGTTTTCTCCTTATGGGGACAGAGATGGCTATAAGAGTCACCTTCTACTAGTTCAGAAGTCCCAATGGAAAGGTGGGTCTTTTCTAACAGCTGTGATAAAAGTTTCAAGAGGACTGTAATTGCCCCAGCTAGGGTCACTGGAAAGGAATATTCTTCCTGGCCAGTCCTGAGTTCTATATAAACCTGATGGCAGAGGACAAGGTCAGCCCACACTCTTACATGGACTGAACTAGATGACTATAGAAGAAGACAGAGGGGACTCCCTAAAAGTAAACTGGACAGAAATGTGCACTTTAGAGACAAGGTTTCCTAATGCTGAGAGTTTGTGTACTCTAAGGGGATTGTTGATCTTTTTACTAAGCAAAAAAAGATTCAGCATTTGTTCTATATGAGATTGGTATCTTGTTAAAAAGTTATTGCCTATTATTTCATGCCTCCTGTTCTTATATATTTTTAAAATTATTTCTGAAAAAATTTTTTTCATTAATTCAGAAACACATTCATACAGTATGTGAAGCTCTATCCTGGGTAGACAGGGAATTTCAGGATTAGTAGAAGACATGGTCCTAATCATATAATATGTGGAATATATAAATACATGAATATAGTCCCTGCTGAGTAGTTTAATGACAGAAAAATGCAATAAGGATTCACAGGGTGGAGATACAATTCCAGCCCTCTAGTACTGTAGGTGGGTTTTGTTGGTGGTTTTTCTGACTTTGATATGATACCTCTGTTAACAAAGAGGATTCACCTGCATGTATATTGTCAGAAATGCAAAAGAGTATAGGATGAGCACACATGTGCTGTTGTCTACAACATACAAACTAGAGCATGAAGATATTTTAAAATACTAAGTAAAATGTAGTTGTGACTGTTTTTAAACCTCTAAAATTGGAAACTTCCTATCTTTTTTTATGTTTCCCAAGTAGGACAACTAGAGAGTAGTGTAACCTACTTTCCTACCATATCCTATCTACTGCTGCAAAGTAAATTTAAAAATTTAAATAATTCACCAGTGACTGATTTCTTCAGACCCTAGAGTTGGTTCCCACCAATTCCATTCCAAGGGGCTTATCACCCTGTGAGGCGAGGATCAGTTACTTCTTCAAAACTCTTCTGGCTAAACTTCCCACTCTCCTGAGAGAAGGGGTTTATTTATTTTTTTTATTTTTTTTTATTTTTTTTTTTTGAGAGAAGGGGTTTAAAGAGAGTGGGAGGTAGGGAAGAGAGGGAGAGGAAGGAAGAGAGAGGGAGGGGGGAATAGGGGGTGGTAGCAGTCGTAGTTGGCTGTACCTGTGCCTCCCTGCCCTGCAGTGTTCCTCTCTTCACACACTGGTTCCCACCCTGACCTGGTCGTAATGCCTCAATTTGGGGGGACTTTGAGCAGTAGGACATCCCTAGCTTGGGCATGTGTTTTTTAAAGACTCCCTCTGTGTAATTTTCTTCTCCTATATTTCTTCTCATTATTTATTGTTTCTGGACTACACTGATCTCTCTTTTTGTGACTCCTGTGACTTTTATCTAAAGAGGCTTCTTCAAATATGACCTTAATAAAGATTTCCCAAAGATCGTTTTCCTGCTGTGAACAGCCTGATCCAGCGGATCAATCTTAGGAAGCGGCGAGACTCACTCATCCTGGGTGGTGTCATTGGTGTCTGTACCATCCTATTGCTGCTGTATGCTTTCCATTGATGGAACATCTCCAGGAACTCTTAACAACCACCACTTTCACACCCTGATCTGGAATAAGGAAAAGTAGGAAGGAGAAGTTGATGCCCTGATGATTATCCTGACCAGCAGGATTAATTCAAGACTGGTAGCGGTGGACTCTGCTGTGACATGGTCAGGTTGAGCTGAAGCCACAGTTTTGCTGTGCTATCTTTTCTAACACATATCTCCTTCTGTTTTTAGTTAAAAAAAAAAAAAAGTTTTCAGTTGCTTTTGTCTTCCTAAGAGGTAAGTAAACCAATCAGAAACAGTTTCTGTGCTTCAGTAATAGTGTTGAAGGCTAATGACAAGCCAGGTCTTATATCTGGACTCTCCAGAAAACCAGGTTTCTCTATATCCAAAGACTGCTTTCCTTTCAGCCCCAGATTGGGTTGTGAATAAAAATAGTTCTTCTCCTTTTATTTTACACTCATGATGAGAAATAAGTCATTTCTTGATAAGCTGTGCTACAAATTTCTACTCTGTGTCCCTAACTGTTTTGGTATTCAAGGAAAATTACATTTTTCACAGATTCTTTGAGATGCCAACAGATAACTTCAACATAGTTGAGGTTGTCTGAAACAGAAGACAAACACTGCAAAAAAAGCTTTTTTTTTCCTTCTTTTTGTAAATTGTATGTACACGGGGGTTAACTGTATTACTGGAAAAGCATCAAGAATAACAGGCTTTTTTTCAGTCATTGTTTTGATTTTTTGCTTCTTCCATAGGATTAATATTTGCTACTACAAGTAAATGAAATTTCAGTTCTACAGTGATAAAAGTAGCTGATAGCCAATGTCTGTCATCACCCCCACCTATTCCTCATGTCAGAATCGACTCTTTAGTGAGGGGACTGGTCAGTTTTCAGTGAGATCTATTCAACAAGCCACATGTAAAAAGACATTGAGGGGTCACCGTCCAGATAATTCCAGTTGTAAATGCTCCCTGATCTAGGAGCAAAAGTTTAAGAACTACTGCCTGATGTTCTAGAAATTCTGGGTGTTATGAAAACCTATTCATTCCAAATCTGTTAAGCTTTTCCAAACATCCAGAGAATGCTTTTACTATTGAAGGTGCGTGTGTCAGAATCTCGCTATGTCTGCATCTCACTTCTACTGCCACCCCTGGACAGCGATAGAATTTTAAACCACCCACCCAAATTCTTTTCAGGCTTACTGTTTCTCCATTTCTGTACACGTATGACTTACTTGTCCAACTGAACTACCACAGATAGCTTGAAGACGTCAATATCTATACTCCTCGCTAAGAAAGAAGGTTGGCCTTCACTGTTGGAATGTTGACTATGGTATTTATAGTGTTGGCTTCAGACTCTGCCACAGGGAATAAAAGGATATTAGCATGCAGTTCTTAACTACATCACAGTATGTGGGCAATGACATTCAGGTGAACTTAATACACAGGCTGATGGCTATACTAACCCCTGGTCTGATATAGAAACTGAGAGGTGTTTCCTTCTGGTGTCGAAGTTTTATTATGTTCTGGGTGTGAAAGGCATTTGATATATTTTTTTTTAACTGTGAGGTTTATTTTTCTAAATATGGGTTGATTAATAGGTTACTTGATTGGGGATGCCCTTAAAAGAAAGTAAGTTTTCCCAATGTGGATCATAAAGGATCAGAGAAGTTCATTTATTAAATTCTGTGTTGGGAGAACAAAACTACTCTCCCCTGACAGTTTATTATTATCTTTGATTTTTCAAAGGGCCTTGATTGGTGGTTGTGCCTCAGCTAGAATTTATGGGACTTCCATTGCTATATGGTTGGCATTTATACAATCTGAAGTATCATAAATAAAGTTATTTATTTAATTATATTACCAGTCTTTTTTACTGGTCTGATTATTTGGTACATTCATTAATGCTGATTGTGTGAGAGTAAACTGAGGGCCTGAGCTAATTTAGCTTGCTGCACTAAACACTACTTTTTGATGGCTGATGAGCCTTTCTATTAGGGTTATGCTTAAATGAAGTAATAGAATTATGTTATTTTCTTTATGAAAATTAACTAGTTTTTCCAAGCAAGTTGAAAAAGCTTGGTGTGAGATGTTGGTGTCAGGTAGGTCTGACTAAGCCCAGTGCTGTAGCCCATAGTGAGGTGACCCCAGGATCAAATGTAGTCAGGATAGGGCTTGTCCTCTCCTCCTACAGTTCCTTCATTCACAGAAAGAAATCCTGGAATAAGGAAGTAGAAGTGTGCCATTTACAAGAAGAGGATTTGAATCCCATGATAGCAGATTTGAACTCTTTCAGTTTTGTGCCATTTAACTTTTTTTTTTTTTAACCATCTTTGTTTTCTCCCCTTTTTCTGCCCTTACAGACCTACTGCTAGGCTGAGGGGCCAACTGTAAGTTGCTTGTTACAGCCAAGAGGTCAGAAGGAAGTGGCCTCTTAGGGGAAATTATTCTCCCTCGGCCTTTGTCTTATATAATAATAATAATAGATCTTTCCTTTGGGATCATTTTGGTAACCATTCAAAACTTGTCCCTTTTACTAAGAAGGCAACACAAGGGAAAAAATTCCCAAAAGTATACTGAGATTTTGTTTTAATGTGTGTTGATAACTTTAGTTAAAAATGTTTAATTAACTACTAAGTTCAAACCCAGATATCCATATGCTTCAGTTAATCTGTCCTGGCGCCCTCTACATTCTTTTAGAGTTTTTAATGATGCTGAAGGATTCCCTATAACCTGCATTTCTCACCCTTAATTTTTCTAGTGTTAGAAAAGGGCTTTCCTATGTACCAAAATCCCCTATGTACCAAAATCTACTTGTACAGAATGCCTTTTTCCCTTCTGCAGATCAGGCATGGAAGTAAAATCCTAAGAATTGAAACAAGTGAAGAGAGGAGGCATCACACGGGCACTTTTTGTACCTGAAACCAAATAATATTTACTTTAGGTCTTTCCTACTGGATGCTGAATACATCTAACTAGGACAATGTACTTATTGAGACTTTTGATGTCATGACTTTGGCCTCTGTGGAACTGAGGCACCCTGGACTTGCATTCCCACCATTGATTGTCTATTTCACTGTTAATAATCTCAACCTGATGAAAAGGACTTTAAAGAACTGGACTAACTTTTTTGGTTTTCTAATACCTCATGTTTGATCATTAGCTGGATATGATTTCTTAAAAATTGACCGAGTTCTCTAACTTGCTGTGGAGGTTAAATGGCCATGTCTAGGATTACACTAAATGTGGCAAATGTAACTAAAGCACAAATGGATTCTACTCAGAAAAGTAAAATGATTGTGCTCCATTCTCCTTTTGGGTTAGAGGTGGTTTTAGCCTGATCTCTGTACAGATGCAGAGCTTTTCATCATGGTCTTTATAAACCAATCTCGTTATTCTTTTTTTTTTTCGTTATTCTTTTATAAACTTGTATACTCTTAAGCTTCTCTGGGAAAAGAAAATAAGGACTAAGTAACTCTGAAGGATGTTTATTGGTTAAAAAGCTGAGATATAGCTGAGCCATGTCTTGAGGGATCTTTCTTATTTTCTTTGTACCTAACGTCTCTCTTTAGTATAAGAGTATTTGCATCTGTTCCCATCCTGTTAGCTGTGAGAGAGGAAGGGAAGTCATTTCCAGTCACACTTTACCAGGATGAGAGATGTCTCCTTATGAAAAAATGCCAATACAGATTTTTTAAAAATCTATTCCAAATGCACTTTCTTATTTTTTTGCTTTTAAAATGGCTTCTGGAACCAGATTTATTGTATTTGTACTTAATTTTTGTTGTCATCTAAATGTGCATTTTCTGACTGTATAGAAGCTTTGTTATGTAATTTAATAATAAATTAGAAATCTAAATGGTTGTGCCTATGGTTGTTTGTATTGAAATAGTACCATTGAGTTAGTTTGCAATAATGATTATGAAATCTTGGGTATAGATAAGTATTTTTCATGATGTCCTAAACCTAGAGTGAAGTAGTATAGGTACTGAAAAGCTGCCCCCTCACCTATCGTTCAAAAACATCATATGAATATTCCACTGATAATTTAGCCCAAGAAATGAAGGAGAATCTCTTCTCAAAATGAAACTTCAGAAGGTATGACGGGAATGTAAAATTGTAGAATTTTAGCAAGAGAAATGGGTTCTTATCTCCCTAAATAATGACTTTTTATCATACAGATCAGAACTTGATTGTCTACCCCACCAGAGAATGAAAATCTCTCATCATCCGTTACCTCTCCAAAATGTTTTTATTCATGTTTTTTGCATCCTTTTTTAAAATAACAGTACAACTGAAATAAAATTCATGTACCATAAAATCCACTCTTTCATGGTGTGTGCTGATGGGGTTTAGTGTATTAGTTGTGCAGCCAGCACCACTAACTTCAAAACCTTTTTATATCACCCCCAAAAAGCAGCACCATCCCCATTAGCAGTGACTCCCTACCCCCTCTCCTTTTTATCCAACCAGAGTGTTCTTACTGTCTTGGCCACCCCAGTTTTTCCCTCTTACCCATTGACATGATTTCCAAAGTACCCCCTTCTTTCTTGAAATCTTGATATTTCTTTGGCTATTAACGTGCTCAGCTCTGAATGTGCACAGCCCCACGTAGACCTACATAAAATCCAACACCACTCTCAGTGAGGGTAGCCATCCCTTTTACAGATAAGGAGATAAGCCCAGAAGGATTGAGTGATTTGCTCAAGGAAAAGTAAAGCAAGGATTTGAATATTGAGGGCTTTTGGTCCCAAATACTGTGCTAGTTCCACAAGATAAAATTTAACTTGTGCTGCATCATTATGAGAGAAGCTATGAAAGAACCACCAATTTTGCCTGGTTTTAAAAGTGATATATTTAAAGCTTATTTAAAGTCCTAAGGCTTGATTATTTTAAAGGACTACTAACTACTGGCTGAATGTTCAGTAAAGAGGACTTGTTTTAAATCCCTTCCTTTACGAGAACTAAATGTAATGCACTGCAGTTGTAAAAAAAATTTTTTTTAGTGGCTTTCATTGGAGCAACTCTGTTCCTGTTCAACTCTTCTTACCTTCTAGTTTAGAACCTCGGAGGTCTTCCTAGAGATGGCTGACGGTGGCAGCGGTGTGGTGCATTTCCTTTCTGGGTGGAATGGCTTTGATGGGCCCCCACTCCTACTAAACCTGCCCTTTCCCTGGGAAAGGATCTGAGGTACTGCCCCAGCATGCCTTGTCTGATGGCAGAGATGCCTAGAATCTAAAAAGAAAGAAAAAAGCTGGAGAATCTTACTGAAAATGTTTATTTGTTTATTATCAGGACATTTTCTCTTCTTTCTCTAAAGCAAAAGCCAGAAGAAAAACCAAGTATATTCCTCCTTCTGAAGATACAGACTTGCTGGCTGATTTGGAACAAAGAGGGATGCACTTTATCCTGATGCCTTCTGCTCCACCCGGCTAAGATTCCCCCACCTTGGCAGAGCTCCTCAGCTTGCAGAGCTCTTTATTACTAACTCAGAAAATACTTAAAAGCTAGGAGGATTGGGTGCTGAAAATTTGTAACTGCTTAGAGGAATCCGAGAGATCACTTGGCTGTGTTCTGCCCTCATCAAATTATCATCTCTTGTGTTATCCTGATCTGTGGTATTTAGCTCTCCTCCTTTGGGATACAAAGCTCTTAGGAAACCATCACTTTCTCTTTATTAGTGCATTTCTTTTAGATATTCTCAAGCATCTAATTAGTTCATCCTTTTACTGGTGAAATTGCTTACAGCTTGAGGGAGAGCAGGCAAATATGATTGGTAACTACTTTTAAATCACTGCTGAAAAAGTATGGTTTCAACATAATCATTTCCCTCAATGTGACTAGTTATTTCTAAATGAATGTGGCGCATAATTCATAGAATTCTCCTGGATGTATGTGCTCTCGCAGATAATGTGTTAAAAATATGGCATTTTGTATTTTTCTGGAATAAGTCCTCAGTCCCCATCTTGACCTCTCCTGTGCCCTGTTGCATGTCCCACAGGTCGGACCCTGTTGTTCACTAGCAACTGCGGTTACAGTCCTGAGCTGGGTGTCCTACCTCTCATGTAACCTCTCGGAGCACTCCGCACACAGCTGCCTAGTATTTCTTCCTGAACAACTTCCAACCCCTCATTGCTCAGTTCAAGAATATCTGGCAGCTATCATGTTTGCCAGTGTGTTATAGTGAATTAACACTCAGAATATACACCCAGCACTTTGCTACATTCCTACATACATCACACAAAGTCCTGTTCACTTAGATAGTATTCTTTTATAGGTAAGGAAACAAAGCCAAGAGATCAGAGTACTTTTTTTTTTAACACTACATGAGCTTTATTTGCACAATCTGTATAAGATTTCTGAATCTGTCCCAATGAGGGAAGAAGGGGCCTGTCTCTCACATGTGTTACTAAAATGCAGATTAATATAATTGCTGATCAAACTTACTGTTGACAAATAATTTTTCCCCCTATTTTAATTACTGTGACCATCAAGGCGGGATGGGGGGTAGGGAACCTTTTCCTAAGACACTCAGATGCAAAGGGCAGGTAGTGTTGCAACCCCCTCGCTGATCGTGCACCACTCTGAAAATATGCCTTTTGGCTCGTTCCTGCCACCCAGGGCAGCAGCAAATTTTTCCTGTCGCCTCCTTTTGGCCAAAGCAGCCAAATATTTAAAAGTCTTTGCTTCACAGATGGCTAGATCCACAAGTACTTTCCTGTTGAGCTCCACCTGGCACTTAAATTGACAGTGAATGCTGGGTTCTTCAGGCCACACTCCTGGGAGGCCCCTGTCATTGGGTTAATCGAAACCAGAGTCTCCTCAGGTTCCTCTTCCTCAGTTTTCATGCTTTTGTGCAT